TACTAGGCAGTGCTGAAAGATGCGAGTTAGAGGTGCTGCTAGCTGGTCTGCACATCTTCTCAGCAATCTTGGGCTCAACTTGTCTGGGCCCACAGCCTTTTCTTGGTCAAGCGATTTAAGAAGGAAATGCACCTCCTCCTGCCTTATTGTCACCACTGACAGTTTTGACACAGTTCTTGCAGCTAACCAAGGAGGGTCTCTTGCTGGATCAGGAACTTGCATTTTGGTAGCAAAGTGTTCAGCAAAGAGGTCCGCCTCTCTCTCTGTATCTCTCTCTCTCTCTCTGTATCTCTCTCTCTCTGTATCTCTCTCTCTCTCTCTGTATCTCTCTCTCTCTGTATCTCTCTCTCTCTGTATCTCTCTCTCTCTGTATCTTTCTCTATCTTTCTCTCTCTCTCTCTCTCTCTCTCTGTATCTCTCTGTATCTCTCTCTCTCTCTCTCTGTATCTCTCTCTCTTTCTCTGTATCTCTCTCTCTCTGTATCTCTCTCTCTCTCTCTATGTATCTCTCTCTCTCTCTCACAGGTACACATAAGTAAAGTTATCATACATAGTATAAATTACCTAGAATAACCCAAATAATCCAGACAAAGTGCTAAACAGTGGATCTGTGCTCCAGTGCCCTAAATTAATAATATTAATAATAATTATTATTATTATTACAATAATACATATGTACTAATATTAATATTATTATTAGTAGGTTGGTAGACAGCAACCACCCAGGAAGTACTACTGTCCTGCCAGATGACTGTGAAACAAACCTGTAACTGTTTTGCATGATGGTAGGATTGCTGGTTCCTTTTTCTGTCTCATAAACACGCTACTCCTACTTACACTTTGGTCACACTTCACAAACACGCACATGCATATATATATACATACATCTAGGTTTTTCTCCTTTTTCTAAATAGCTCTTGTTCTTCTTTATTTCTTCTATTGTCCATGGGGAAGTGGAAAAGAATCTTTCCTCCGTAAGCCACGCGTGTCATATGAGGCGACTAAAATGCCGGGAGCAATGGGCTAGTAACCCCTTCTCCTGTAGACATTTACTAAAAAAGAGAAGAAGAAAAACTTTATAAAACTGGGATGCTTGAATGTGCGTGGATGTAGTGCGGATGTCAAGAAACAGATGATTGCTGATGTTATGAATGAAAAGAAGTTGGATGTCCTGGCCCTAAGCGAAACAAAGCTGAAGGGGGTAGGGGAGTTTCGGTGGGGGGAAATAAATGGGATTAAATCTGGAGTATCTGAGAGAGTTAGAGCAAAGGAAGGGGTAGCAGTAATGTTGAAGGATCAGTTATGGAAGGAGAAAAGAGAATATGAATGTGTAAATTCAAGAATTATGTGGATTAAAGTAAAGGTTGGATGCGAAAAGTGGGTCATAATAAGTGTGTATGCACCTGGAGAAGAGAGGAATGTAGAGGAGAGAGAGAGAGATTTTGGGAGATGTTAAGTGAATGTATAGGAGCCTTTGAACCAAGTCAGTAATTGTAGTAGGGGATCTGAATGCTAAAGTAGGAGAAACTTTTAGAGAGGGTGTGGTAGGTAAGTTTGGGGTGCCAGGTGTAAATGATAATGGGAGCCCTTTGATTGAACTTTGTATAGAAAGGGGTTTAGTTATAGGTAATACATATTTTAAGAAAAAGAGGATAAATAAGTATAACAAGATATGATGTAGGGCAAAATGACAGTAGTTTGTTGGATTATGTATTGGTAGATAAAAGACTGTTGAGTAGACTTCTCCTCTCTCCTACATACTCTAACTTGAGCCTCATTATCCTTGTAAAAACTCTTCACTGCTTTCAGTAACCTACCTCCTACACCATACACCTGCAACATCTGCCACATTGCCCCCTTATCCACCCTGTCATACGCCTTTTCCAAATCCATAAATGCCACAAAGACCTCTTTAGCCTTATCTAAATACAGTTCACTTATATGTTTCACTGTAAACACCTGGTCCACACACCCCCTACCTTTCCTAAAGCCTCCTTGTTCATCTGCTATCCTATTCTCCGTCTTACTCTTAATTCTTTCAATAATAACTACCATACACTTTACCAGGTATACTCAACAGACTTATCCCCCTATAATTTTTTGGATTTGTCAGTTAAAAATAGGAGAGGAGAGTTATTAAATGGAGAGTTAGAGGTATTGGGAAGATGGAGGGAATATTTTGAGGAATTGTTAAATGTTGATGAAGATAGGGAAGCTGTGATTTTGTGTAAAGGGTAAGGAGGAATAACATCTTGTAGGAGTGAGGAAGAGCCAGTTGTGAGTGTGGGGGAAGTTCGTGAGGCATTAGGTAAAATGATAGGGGGTAAGGCAGCCGGGATTGATGGGATAAAGATAGAAATGTTAAAAGCAGGTGGGATATAGTTCTGGAGTGGTTGGTGCAATTATTTAATAAATGTATGGAAGAGGGTAAGGTACCTAGGGATTGGCAGAGAGCATGCATAGTTCCTTTGTATAAAGGCAAAGGGGACAAAGATAAGGCTAAAGAGGTCTTTGTGGCATTTATGGATTTGGAAAAGGCGTATGACAGGGTGGATAGGGGGGCAATGTGGCAGATGTTGCAGGTGTATGGTGTAGGAGGTAGGTTACTGAAAGCAGTGAAGTTTTTATGAGGATAGTGAGGCTCAAGTTAGAGTATGTAGGAAAGAGGGAAATTATTTCCCAGTAAAAGTAGGCCTTAGACAAGGATGTGTGATGTCACCGTGGTTGTTTAATATATTTATAGATGGGGTTGTAAGAGAAGTAAATGCGAGGGTCTTGGAAAGAGGCGTGGAGTTAAAAGATAAAGAATCACATATAAAGTGGGAGTTGTCACAGTTGCTCTTTGCTGATGACACTGTGCTCTTGGGAGATTCTGAAGAGAAGCTGCAGAGATTGGTGGATGAATTTGGTAGGGTGTGCAAAAGAAGAAAATTAAAAGTGAATACAGGAAAGAGTAAGGTTATGAGGATAACAAAAAGATTAGGTGATGAAATATTGGATATCAGATTGGAGGGAGAGAGTATGGAGGAGGTGAATGTATTCAGATATTTGGGAGTGGATGTGTCAGCGGATGGGTCTATGAAAGATGAGGTGAATCATAGAATTGATGAGGGGAAAAGGGTGAGCGGTGCACTTAGGAGTCTGTGGAGACAAAGAACTTTGTCCTTGGAGGCAAAGAGGGGAATGTATGAGAGTATAGTTTTACCAACGCTCTTATATGGGTGTGAAGCATGGGTGATGAATGTTGCAGCGAGAAGAAGGCTGGAGGCCGTGGAGATGTCATGTCTGAGGGCAATGTGTGGTGTGAATATAATGCAGAGAATTCATAGTTTGGAAGTTAGGAGATGCGGGATTACAAAAACTGTTGTCCAGAGGGCTGAGGAAGGGTTGTTGAGGTGGTTCGGACATGTAGAGAGAATGGAGCGAAACAGAGTGACTTCAAGAGTGTATCAGTCTGTAGTGGAAGGAAGGCGGGGTAGGGGTCGGCCTAGGAAAGGTTGGAGGGAGAGGGTAAAGGAGGTTTTGTGTGCGAGGGGCTTGGACTTCCAGCAGGCATGCGTGAGCGTGTTTGATAGGAGTGAATGGAGACAAATGGTTTTTAATACTTGACGTGCTGTTGGAGTGTGAGCAAAGTAACATTTATGAAGGGGTTCAGGGAAACTGGCAGGCCGGACTTGAGTCCTGGAGATGGGAAGTACAGCGCCTGCACTCTGAAGGAGGGGTGTTAATGTTGCAGTTTAAAAACTGTAGTGTAAAGCACCCTTCTGGCAAGACAGTGATGGAGTGAATGATGGTGAAAGTTTTTCTTTTTCGGGCCACCCTGCCTTGATGGGGATCGGCCAGTGTGATAATAAAAAAAAAATATTATTAAACTATAATATAATAATCGTGTCCACTCATTACTTACCTTAAAATATCTGTAGTCTTAATGTAGAGTGAGAGGCGAGTAAACAAGATTAAATGAATAAACGAATGAGTGTGTAGAAGGTTGGCAAGTTATGTAAACAAACGTTGTTGCTGTTGTTCTTGTTGGTACTAGCCCGGACACGAATGATTGCTGTTCACTCTGTCAAGTCATCCAGAAAAACATCTCATATTTGTTAATTTATATGTTTATATGTATGTAGCATGTTTATTATATAATTTTGAAAAAGAAATCATAGATGGATTAAGCAAAATGTCTATATCAACGTTTTATACACATTTAATGCACCTCAGTGATTATTATTGTGTTATTATCATTATTAATATGGCATCTTCAAGACCAATTACACTCTTAATGAGTGGCTCTGAGACAAACAAGCAGACAGAAAGACAGAGACACAGGTAGACAGACAGACACTCAGGTAGACAGACACACAGGTAGACAGACAGACACACACAGGTAGACAGAATGACACACACAGGTAGATATAAAGACACACACAAGTAGACAGACACACAGGTAGACAAGGACACACAGGTAGACAAAGACAGACACATAGGTAGACAGAAAGACAGACACACAGGTAGACATAGACACAGGTAGACAGAAAGACAGACACACAGGTAAACAGACAGATAAACAGACACACAGAGATACACAGATATGTAGGCAGACAGATACAGACAGTGAAAACAAATAGAGAGTTCGAGAGTAAGAGCCTTTTTTGCCACAGACTTCATCTTAGGGGCCATGGTGAAATTTACTGTCCAGTTAGTACAGTTAATACAGTATGATGCTGCTGATAGGACAGGGTTACTCAAACTGATGCTGCCTGCATGACGCATTGCCGCCGCGAGTATTGTCAAATATTGTACATCAGCCGGCCCAGCCCAGCTGCCAGATGCACGGTCGTAAGTCGAGTGGACATATGTCGAGCAGGTCGTAAGTCAGATGGTAGGTGTACATCACACAAAATGGCAATACTTATGATGAAACAATAACTCAGATGACTAAGTTAGGGACCTACTCTATCAATCAATAATTTTAGTGGGAACATTTTGCAACTTCTCCCTTACCTGGAGAAGATGAACTTGTGGAGCCACGTAATCTCCCTGGAGGTTGCGGTGGCACTGAGCTGCATCAGCATAGGTACCAACTAAAGCCACTTTTGCTGGTTTACTTGGCTTTCCTCTAACATCTGAGTGAAAAAATTTCCTTCTGTATTCTAATAATTCATTTGGTAAGAAGAATAATAGTAGGAAGGGCACCATAAAAGAATGAAAAGATGAGAAAACAATTACAGTACTTCCTCCTGCACTAGCTTATAAATTTATTAAAATTCACTGCAAGTTTCTCAAAAAAAGAATTATAAAATATAAATCGCAGAACAGGTGGGACTTTAACCCATAGTAAAAGAGTTCTAAAACTCACAAGCCATTATACTAAACACTGATCCATTCTGGCCTAACAAAATTCATCCAACTGGGTATATTTCTATGTACAATAGGAATGTTAGTATGGGGTCCACTATTATCATAAATGCAGGTTTTTACAGATGAATCCCACACCAGCACAGGTGTGGCATGCTCTATCTCAAGTCCCCTGAAAGCAGACATCATGACTTACAATTTCATCAGCCTTGCCAGTGTGGGACTGGTTTATAAAAACCTGCATTTGTAGGCACAGTGGGGTCCAAGCCAACAATTGGATTAATCTTGTTAGGCAGACATGGGTCAGTGATTAACATAATGGCCTGTGAGTTTTAGGACACTCTTGTCACAGGCTCAAGCCCCACCTGTTCTATGATTTGTTACCTATCATGTTTTTACAATTTCATGAGTAATAACAAAAAGATCAAAGTAAACAAAATACACTAATTTTTTTTTAAGTAAATGAACACAGATTATCATAACTACCTAAACAATGATCAAGAAGAAGTACAATAATCAATAATGTATCTAAGTTCATCTTTAATGCAAATAAATACTCTTCAGTGCTAATTTAAAGATTTAACTATTGTACTTACTTAAAGGTTCCATGGGAGGGATTCGAGCTTGAAGGAAAGACATCCAAAAGGAACACTGTTGCAACTGAACATCAAATGGTTGGTTCAGTGGAAACACAATAAGGTGGACACAGGAGGTGTTGCCTATAAAGTGGTCATATACCGGGAAGTAAGCTTCATGACCAGAAAACTCCCAGAGTGATAATTCACCCACACCAGAAATATTAACCTAAGAAAAAAGAAATATATAAATATAAATTGTATTGTAAAGATACAATACAATACAATTTATTTTAAAAAGGTACATGATAAAATTCCTGTGAAAAGCCCACACCATACATAGCATCTCAGGAAGACTTAAACCAGGACTAAAACTACTTAATATTAAAAAAAATAATTAAAACTGGTGTCTTGTGTTGAAATCACAATTCAGATGACCCTCCTACTGCAACATCCCCACTTCTCTTTCAGAGTGTAGGTACTGTACTTACCATCAACAGGATTCCAGTTCTAACCACCAGTTTTCCCTTATCCCTTCATAAACGTTACCTTGCTCACACACAAACAGTGCATCCATTAGAAAACACATGTAACATACTCATACATGCTTGCTGGATGCTTGAACTAAAACTCAAAGCCTTCTTTACCTCCTCCCACCAACTATTCTTGGGATGACACATACACCACCTACCTTCTACCCCAGATTTGTAATCCTCTTACCTTTGATGGGTTTCAAGTTTTCCTACTACCACTGCCTGACCACACCACCTCTACAATCCCTCCTCAACCTTCTAAATTATTGTCCTAATCACCCTACACTGCCTTTTAATTTTTATGCTCTAAATTTTCTGCATGAGGTTCACACCACACATTGCTCTCCAACATATCTCAGCTGTCTGTAGTCTCCTTTCTGCAGCATTCAAAACTCATGCCTTATACCCATATAAAAGTGTTGGTGCCACTACACTCTGGTATATTCCCTGTTTTTTGCCCCCACACATAAACTTCTTTCCTTCAAGAGATGCCTCACCACATCACTAACTCCTTTTTTCCCCATCTATTCTATAGTTCACCTCATCTTTCACAGACCCATCTGCTGAAAAATCAGCTTCCAAATATCTAAATACATTCACTTCCTCTATACTCCCTCCCTCCAATCTAATATTCCATCTATTATTGCTTAGACCTTTTACTCTCATCACCTTACTCTTTTCTATGCTAAATTTAAATTTTTTTCATTTACATACCCTCCCAAATTCATCTACTAATCAGTGTAATTTTTTTCAGAATCCTTCCCAAAGAATTGTGTCAACAGCAAAGAGCAACTGTAACAACTTCCACTCTGTATCAGAGACAACATCTTTTAATAAAATCCCACACCTCTTCCCATCACCCTAATATTCACTTCTTTTATAAACCCCCTGTCATACTATCACAGGGAAATGGTCCCCTCTCCCTTCTAAATAACGTGAGCTTTACTTTGAATAAAATTTCTATACTGCCTTTAATAGCTTATTCCAGATATCTGCAACATCTTCCACATGCTATCCAACCTATCATATGCATTTCCTAATTTTATAACAGCAACAAAAAGCCTTATCCTTATCTAAGTACTACTCACTTATATGGTTCAATGTCAACACTTGCTCTACACACCCCCTATCCTTCCTAAATCCTTCTTGCTCCTCTGCAATCTTGCTTTGTGTTGCCCCTAACCTTTTCAATACTAGTTCTACCATAAACCTTTACCTTTACATACTGTACATATGAAGAATTCCGTGCTGTATAACTAAACAGAAGAGCCTTACCTGCTGTACATCAATGCCTTTGGTATAATTCTCACAGGGTTCAAAGGTGAGAGAGTTCTGACGAGAGCTTACAGGTGATTCCATTTCAAAATGCCCCTTCATGGCAGAGGGACCTATGTGACAAAAACAGAGATCACTTTTAGGACCAAAAAAACTACTAAAATAAGGCAGTCATGAAATTAATAGTTGAATAAGCTTACTGTTAAACATCTGAGCTTCAGAATAATTACTGAATATCTGTTCCTAAAGGGATAATATACCAGCTTATCCTCAACAAATTTGGGGGGCAAAAATAAACCTTTAACTTGTATTATGAAATATTATTATATGAGCAAATCACCTGCAGGAGGCTTACAGGGCATTAGCTGAATTATTACCTGCAAGTAATTTGGGTAAGTTAAGTGGGACTTAAGTCACAGTAGATCACTGAAGTGTAACTCCCTCATTGCCCACTCCTACCACTTTCACAAAAAGCTAGACCTGACATTAAATTAATAATAATAATCCATGGGGAAATGGAATAAGAATCTTTCCTCTGTAAGCCATGCGAGTTGTAAAAGTCAACTAAAATGCCGGGAACAATGGCCTGTATAGCTTACTAAAAAGAAAAAGCAGAAAACCATCAAAGTGGAAAGTCTGAATGGGCGTGGATGTTGTGCAAACGATAAGAAAGAGATGATTGTGGATGTTATGAATGAGAAGAAGCTGGATGTCCTGGCTTTAAGTGAAACAAAGCTGAAGGGGATGGGAGAGTTTCAGTGGGAAGAAGTAAATGGGATTAGGTCAGGGGTTTCAAATAGAGTTAGAGCTAAAGAAGGAGTAGCAGTAATGTTGAAGGAATAGCTAAGGTAATTTCCAAAACCCTCAATGGCATAACTTCAAACATTTAAAAAAGGTGCCTCCTAATATGACAATGGAGAACGAAATTCAAGTGAATAAGTTCAGATTTGACCATTGTGTGTAAAATAATGTAAAAATTTTATACTCCTTAAATTCTGTTAAATAAATTTCAGTTTGCCTCCTCCGAACAGCTTTAATATTTAATGAATGGTGCATCTTACAGCCACAATAGTATATATTAAGGTTTTTTAAGTGCAGGCAAAAGTGTTGTAGTAAAATAGTTAACCCTTAAACGGTCCAAACAGATCGACATTCAAATTCGTATTGCTACAAAACTAGAGCTAATTTTTTTACATATATTCAAATATAGCAAAAAAAAAAATGTAGATAAAAGTTTTTTTACACGTTTTCAAATGTAAAACAAAAAGAAGATCTACATTTTTTTACATACTTTCAGATGTTGAAAAAATGTATATATACGTTTGGACCATTTGAGGGTTAAAAAATAACTGTAGAAGCCCGTGCCATAACTGCAGAATGACTTATCTGATTATCTTTAAATAAAAGTAGATCTACTTTTGTAGCACTACGAATTTGAATGTTGATCTGTTTGGACCGTTTAAGGATTAAAGAAGCATGGTTAGAATGTGCTCCTTTCCTTTCCTACAATCTTTCAGAAAAAGAAAAGATTATTCAGCGCATTAAAGATTTGTCTGTGAGTAGAAAAACGGTTAAGGATAGGATACTTAAGCTGGAAAGGAATGCAGTGGAACAATTAACAAAGGATTTGGCTTCATGTAAGTTCTTTTCTAACTGTGTTGATGAAAGTAGACATTACACCAGCTAGGCTAGCAATTTTGTTCTCAATTTTGTAATGGTGACAAAGCATGCGAAGAGATGATTAATCTTGTAACACTACCCGAGTGTACCACTGAGGCTGAAATATGTAAAGCAGTTATGAATAGATTATCTATTCAACAAATTAACATTGTAAAAGTAGTACCGTTCAACAATGAGCCCCACATGTTTGGAAAGGGAAGCGGGGTTTGTAAACTGTTTGCAAATATTTGGTCATCCCCGACGGCTTTCATTTCATCATACACAGAGGGTTTATTTGGGGAAAAGCTGGTCAAAAAAAAATTTTAAGAAGTGAGCAAACAGTCAACAAAACTTAAAATTCTTTCCATGTCTTCAAAAAAAAGACAATTCAGAATTTATTGAAAGGGTGATTCGGGTTACAAAGGGCTAACAATGTACAAAAATGTTCGTTGGCTTAGTCGATGTTTTGTTTTAAAATTTGTTGAATGCCGGATAAAAATCTCTTTTTGATTAACCCAAAAAGTTCAAAAAAAATTCCCCTTTTCCGTTAGGTTTGTAAACTGTTTTTTTTTTTCAATTTTTTTAAACATTTAAAAAGATTGAACATTTAAATTAACAGGGGTCTGGTAAGACACCTGATTTATTTATTTTTTTTTTTTTTTTTTCACAGGGTTTTACAAGGGGAAAGGACCCACTTTATTGACAAGCTATTTTCAGTTTTAAAGGGTTCCTAACTTTATTGGGAATGAACAAAAATTTTTTAAAAGGGGTATGATAGGAGCTTTAAACTTTCCAAACCTAAAGAGATACAGTGGAACCTCAAATTTCGAACGTATCACTTATCAAACTCTTCGAAAATCGTACGCTTTTTTTGAACCAACTTTGTCCCTATTATCGAACTCGCCCCTTCTTTCGAACTGCCAGGTACCGGATTAATTGTATTTCCATTATTTCTTATGGGAAATATTGCTTCGCCTTTCAAAATTTTCGACTTTAGAACTAGCTACTGGCCCTAAGCGAAACAAAGCTGAAGGGGGTAGGAGAGTTTCAGTGGGGGGAAATAAATGGGATTAAATCTGGAGTATCTGAGAGAGTTAGAGCAAAGGAAGGGGTAGCAGTAATGTTAAATGATCAGTTATGGAAGGAGAAAAGAGAATATGAATGTGTAAATTCAAGAATTATGTGGATTAAAGTAAAGGGTTGGATGCGAGAAGTGGGTCATAATAAGCGTGTATGCACCTGGAGAAGAAGGAATGCAGAGGAGAAAAGAGATTTTGGGAGATGTTAAGTGAATGTATAGGAGCCTTTGAACCAAGTGAGAGAGTAATTGTGGTAGGGGACTTGAATGCTAAAGTAGGAGAAACTTTTAGAGAGGGTGTGGTAGGTAAGTTTGGGGTGCCAGGTGTACATGAAATGGGAGCCCTTTGATTGAACTTTGTATAGAAAGGGGTTTAGTTATAGGTAATACATATTTTTAAAAAAAAGAGGATAAATAATATACACGATAGATGTAGGGGGAAATGACAGTAGTTTTTTTGGATTATGTATTGGTAGATAAAAGACTGTTGAGTAGACTTCAGGATGTACATGTTTATAGAGGGGCCACAGATATACAGATCACTTTCTAGTTGTAGCTACACTGAGAGTAAAAGGTAGATGGGATACAAGGAGAATAGAAGCATCAGGGAAGAGAGAGGTGAAAAGGGTTTTTAAACTAAAAGAGGAGGCAGTTAGGGTAAGATATAAACAGCTATTGGAGGATAGAAAGGGCTAATGAGAGCATAGGCAATGGGGTCGAAGAGTATGGGGTAGGTTTAAAAATGTAGTGTTAGAGTGTTCAGCAGAAGTTTGTGGTTACAGGAAAGTGGGTGCAGGAGGGAAGAGGAGCGATTGGGGGAATGATGATGTAAAGAGAGTAGTAAGGGAGAAAAAGTTAGCATATGAGAAGTTTTTACAAAGTAAAGTGATGCAAGGAGGGAAGAGTATATGGAGAAAAGAGAGAAGTTAAGAGAGTGGTGAAGCAATGTAAAAAGAGAGAAAAATGAGAGAGTGGTGAGATGTTATCAACAAATTTTGTTGAAAATAAAAAAAAGTTTTGGAGTGAGATTAACAAGTTAAGAAAGCCTAGAGAACAAAGGGATTTGTCAGTTAAAAATAGGAAGGAGAGTTATTAAATGGAGAGTTAGGGGTATTGGGAAGATGGAAGGAATATTTTTGAGGAATTGTTAAATGTTGATGAAGATAGGGAAGCTGTGATTTCGTGTATAGGGCAAGGGGGAAATAACATCTTGTAGGAGTGAGGAAGAGCCAGTTGTGAGTGTGGGGGAAGTTCGTGAGGCAGTAGGTAAAATGAAAGGGGGTAAGGCACCCCGGGGTTGGGTGGGGTAAAGAATAGAAATGTTTTAAAAACAGGGGGGATATAGTTTTGGAGTGGTTGGTGCAATTATTTAATAAATGTATGGAAGAGGGTAAGGTACCTAGGGATTGGGAGAGAGCATGCATAGTTCCTTTGTATAAAGGCAAAGGGACAAAAGAAGAGTGCAAAAAATTTTAGGGGGGTAAGTCTTTGAGTGTACCTGGTAAAGGTAAAGGTAGAGTTATAATTGAAAGAATTAAGAGTAAGACGGAGAATAGGATAGCAGATGAACAAGGAGGCTTTAGGAAAGTAGGGGGTGTGTGGACCAGGTGTTTACAGTGAAACATAAAGTGAACAGTATTTAGATAAGGCTAAAGAGGTCTTTGTGGCATTTATGGATTTGGAAAAGCTATGACAGGGGGGATAGGGGGCAATGTGGCAGATGTTGCAAGTGTATGGTGTAGGAGGTAGGGTTACTAAAGCAGTGAAGAGTTTTTTAACGAGGATAGTGAGGCTCAAGTTAGAGGGATGTAGGAAAGAGGGAAATTTTTTCCCCGTAAAAGTAGCCTTAGACAAGGATGTGTGATGTCACCGTGGTTGTTTAATATATTTTTAGATGGGGTTGTAAGAGAAGTAAATGCGAGGGTCTTGGCAAGAGGCGTGGAGTTAAAAGATAAAGAATCACACACAAATGGAGTTTTTCACAGCTGCCTTTGCTGATGACACTGTGCTCTTGGGAGATTTTGAAGAAAGTTGCAGAGATTGGTGGATAATTTGGGAGGGGGTTTCAAAAGAAGAATATTAATTGTAAATCCCGAGAAAGAGTAAAAGTAAAGAGTTAAAAAAGATTATTATAAAAAAATTCAATTGAAAGAGTATGAAAAAGGGGGTGAGCATAGATTTTGGGGGGGAGCAGGGTTTTTAAATTTTTTGCAAAATTGGGGGAAAAGGGCGGGGTGCCTTGACTTGGAGCAAAGGAAAAGCTGGAAAAGATTTAAGTAGGATAAGTCCCAACTTAATTAATTTTAAGGTTTAAAGAAATTTCAGGAAAAGGGAGGTGATTCGTTAAAAAGGGAAACAATGAAAAATTTGTTGGTT